AGCGTCGCCGCTGCGAGGGTAAGTGACATTTATATTCGTATAAATACAAAAATGCTCCTGAAGAATCATATTAGAATAATTATTGCTGCATAATATTTAATAAAAAATATATAGCGTTTTTATGAAAAGCATTAGGAATAAATGCGGAGAGGTATAGAAACAAATACAAAAACATAGACAAATAATAAAATAAATTATAAAAAATAATAGAAAGTATGTAGATAATAATGATGAATATAAAAAGCACATAAAAAGATAAATTTTATCCCGTCATAACTAATCGTCAAAAATGTTCGCCGCTGAAAGAACCGCAATTGTGTAAAATTATATAGCTTTTCGTGCTTATTACTTCCTGCCAAGCGTGAGTATGGACACGATCAGTGTCACACGGTTGAACTGTGCATTCTTCAATTCCCGTGGTCAAAGACCTCCGCATTCGTAAACAATGCAGTGGTTCGAATTAAAAATTAGAACGTGGGTGGACGAAAACTCTCCCCGATCGCTTGTCAAGGCGCTCTCGCTCTCCAAAAGCTTGACCTTTCTTGTTGAGATAGCAAAAGGACCAAGAGAAAGACTCTGTGGGTGCGGTCGAATAATTTGGCACGAAGTTACCGGCAACGTGCGGAAACTCGCGCGGATAAAGGCACGATTGCGGTCGTTGACACGCGCGTACATTGCGTTTTCCACAACAGTATTGGAGGTTCCGTTGCGTCGCTAAAATGGAAACTGCGCGTGCATGACGAATATAATCTCTCGATTGTTCTCGTGATTTCTGAAAAAAATTGACACGGATCTTTGAATGAAGACAAAACTTAAAATGCATTTATCTGAAGGCATTGGATATTTTTCTCGCATGACAAAGTTAAAATCAACAAAAATTAAAATGCGGAATTGCGACTGACTCAGCCCGAATCGTTGCACATTGTTGAAATGACTCCTGAGTACATTTTTAAGCTTAATTTACAATGTATTTTTTTGCTTCCTCTTTCTTGCATTTTACTACTCTTTACCTCTTGCATTTTTGCCTCTTATTTCTTTGTTTTCTATCACCAGAAATAAAAATTGAATTTCAGAAGAGACAAGAAACATGTAATTAACAAGAAACATGATTGTTGATAAAACAGTCACAAGAATAAGAGATAAAAGGAAGTAATAAAAAGCAAAGGAACATTGTAGATTAGGCTTTAATTGCAATTCAAATGAAATATTTAATTCAGTGTCTCTTTTAATAGAATATTTAAATATGACAGTATTTTTAACAATAAGAATCTTATTTTAGACCGTACATGTGAGAACACAACCAATATGAATCAGAAATTAAATGCCTATACTGGTCGAAGCTGGATCCTTAATGCTTTAATGTATTGAATCATTGAAATCATTGAATTATTTAAGTATTAAAGATCCAGCTTTGACCGAAACAATATTTTTGTTGCGCCTAGTATTTAAAATTTAAATAGATTACGTAGATTTTTTATGAAAAAAATAAGGAGAGAAAGAACACATATGTATTTTTTGCGATCGAAGAAAAATGCATATCATCCAGCGAGCAATTTTATTTGAGCTGGATTTAAATGTGATAAATATCAACGAAATTAGAAGTCAAGATAAGTTGCACTCGAATGCAACTCGAGGCGCATTTTCACCTTATACAAATTGCATAACATTTTCTCTGATGAATAACGCGAGTCAAAGTTACGATTTCTCCAATAACGACTGTAATCGCGGCCTTGACTATCGGTCAAAGCGATGATTTCGTAAAAGAAACGCATGCTATCGCGAAGTATGAACATACATATGTATCGCGACAGGCGGATAATTCGCGGACGGTCTCGTGTAATTGTGAGACGACGTGTCGTTCGACACGAGAAGTCGGTTTGGCTTGCGTTCAGAAATTTGCATGTTGCTGCTGACTCAAGAACCACGTAGTAACCGACCTAGCTGAATTCGTCTAAATTTAGATGACACGCCGCCAAGCGTAAATAATTGCGAAATGAAAGCTCCTTCCACGCGCGATACGAATCACCCAGTAGAATCGAACTTCTACGATTGAGGCAACTCATCCTGCAGATCTGTTCTTATGATTTTTCTCTAAAAAAAGATAAGAATTACTTCAAGTGAGATACAACTCAAAAAAATAAATTTCCTAGAAAAAGTTAAAAACTATTTTTCAACTTGACATGAAATTATAAGCTAATTAAATGAAAATGGCAAAAAAAATATATTCTTAATTTGATCAAATGTTATTTTTGTTACTTTATTTCGCAATCCTTGAAAATTTATTCTTTTTGAGATGTGATGATTTCTTTAATCATCTTTTTTGACGCTTTGATAATATTTTTACGAGTTTAAGTTAGTTCACTTTTGACGATTAATAGGTTAATGTTTATGTAACTCACTTATGATAATAATTTAAAAAAAATCACGTTTTTTTAGTTATGTTATTTTTTAAGTAAGGGAGCGATATGTAATATATGTATTGTACATCGTAGATATACGGTTAGATATACAATTTAAATTTTAAATTCTAAGCTATTAAAATTTGTCTAATACTTAAATAAAATTCCAATACTACAATTAAAACATAACATTTTTTATATTGAATTAAAAAAATCACAAATATTTTATTTTGTTTAGTTTTAAATTTATTATACACACAAACATGATTAATATTTTATACATTACATATACATTTCAAATTTTAATTTTTATTACAAAGAAATATTTAAGCCTTTCAACTGCACATATTCCACATATCGCGCATAACATTAATTTTTAATTTACAGTGTAATCATAAAAGAATATTTAATCTTCCAAATATCACGTAGTTTGCATTATTTTGAGTACAAAGAAAAAAATAATTAATTTTCTTAATACCCAGACTTTCTTCGTTGATGGCATATTTACATGAATCACGTAGGTGGATCCAACCGACAACAAAAAAACCTGGCTCGGAAGGAAAGATGAATCGTCGTCTTTCCTGGGACAAAAAGGTGTGTGCTCGACTCGAAAAACACGGTTGCGTGCTATAACTTCATTCGTGGGTGTGTTCGGCTATTATTTCTTTTTCTTTTTACGCGCCGCATTGTCCTTGACCCCACGTGTCGGCCTTGCGATGCCTGTGCCAGTAATCGCGAATTAGCTCTCAATACTTTGCAATTTCGTAAAATCATTTTCCCATCTAATTTACGAAATTACGCGAAATAATTTGATAGATGCGTCTAGTGAAAGTCATGTTTCGGAAACGATTATCATAAGTTTGATCGTGTACGTATAATAAATTGAAATGAAGAACACTATGTATGTACATCTCTGATAAAAGACACAATACATCTTGTTATACTTATCTCTACGATTCACGGCTTGAAAGCTTCTCCGACAGATGCCGCCAGACTTAGGTGAAGAACGATGTCTTCGACGTCACATTACTGGAGCAAACAGACATGAAATTCTATAAAGACGACTTCGACCAAACTCCAATTAATTTAATTATTAAATGATTAAGTAATTTACGAATAAAACTATAAAATTAGTGAATAAAATTACGTTTAAAATATTTTAAAAGATTAAGAATAATTAATTTGATATTGAAAATTTTGTTTGAAGCTAGTTGAATTAACTGCTGATTGAATCAATCGGAATTTGCTCAAAGTCGCCCTAAATCTACTTGTTGATATAAAAATTTACCAATTAATAATTATAATTTTTTTTTACATTTATTTACATTTTCTGAATATATTTATGTTTCTGAAGTCTGCAAGATAATTTATTTACCACAGAGAATATCGCGAAGGATAGGAAGAAGTCTAGAAATTTGAGTTTTCATAAGCATGTACTTGTATTTTTACACTTGTGTGTGTATCTATATCTTTTCATACTGTGTTAGTATTTTCTTATATAAGATGTTATTGGAAATTATGCGTCAACATGCGATCTTAAGAGAACGACAACTAAGAAGGATTTTTCACTTAAAGTAACCTGAGTAATTCATGGAACTACAACGTTACGTTCGTAAAATCTAATTTCATGAAATCAGGATAAAAGTAGTTCGTTTAATATGATCTATTTAAAATTTAAGAGAAGACGAGATTAGAATTAAAAATATTTTTATGTCGCAATATCAATTATTAGAAATTTCACTTTACGTTTTGAAGTGAACATATATTTTTCAATCGCCAATTACATGTTATTCTAATTAAAAGAAAATTACATCGAAAAATAAAAGAAAAAATATTCTTCAAAATAATAAAAAAAATATTCTTTTTTTTTTTTCAAAAGAGAGCGCGAAGAATTTGAACTTTTCTTATAAAATTTATTTTGAGTCTACTTTTTCCTATTTCTTTTTCTACTTTAGCGAAGACATCGCTCGCGTTTCCATGGCAAAACATTGGAGAAGGGGGAGACGGTAGTCACGGGGATAACCGAGTGCTCCTCGCCACAACCCTCGGGTCGATAATCCGCCACTCCCTGAAAGAAACAGTTTGTTCGCGACATTGCTCGTTGTCAGTTGGTTGATAGGTCGATTGGTTAGTTGGTTGCATGTTGCATGGGACAGCAATTAGCGAAGTTGTTGGCGCGGG